ATTGTACATCATGACTGATCTGGATATGTTCTTTTTGACAATGAATGCAACACCATTCCTCTTCAATTTGTCATTCCCTGCATAGTAAACCATGTCGTTGTCAGATTCAAAATGGCTACTACCAGTCCATTTCAGTTCACTAATGTCTAAGATATCGATATTTATGCATTCCATTTCATTTTTGACAATTTCCAAGTTTCCCAGCTTCATACTTCATACATTCCATGTTGTGATTTTCAATGGATGTTTATAGCTGTTTCTCTTCGCTTTGAGTTGTGCCCCATCAGCAAATGAAGGTGCCATGGGTTTTTCTTCCACGAGCTTTACTACATTCACGTTATCACAGTCAAATCCACTTTGAGGAGGCAGCTCTTCCCCAGTCACATTTTGAGTGCCTTCCAACCTGAGGGCCTCATTTTCTGGCACTATATCTGACAGTGTTTCTCTGCTGTTCATAAGGTTTTCAGTGACTAAATATTTATAAGTAGTTTGTCACTCTTTCTTCTTAGTCTGTCTTCTTCTGGAAGCTTATCTGAAACCTGTCCTCTATTGGTGACCCTGCTGGTATTTAAAATACCTGTGGCATAGCTTTCCGAATCACAGCAAATCACAAGCCACCACAGTACGACTAACTGACAGATGAGTGGTGGTAGGAAAATTGGAAGTCATCAAAAATGAAATGCATAAAGACTGGGATCTTAGGCATTAGTGAGCTGAAATGGAATGGTATTAGTCATTTTGAATTGGACAATCATATGATTTATTGTGCCAGGAACAACAAACTGAAGAGAAATGGTGTTGCATTCATCATTAAAAAGAGCATTTCAAGATCTGTCTTGAAGTACAGTGATGTCTATGATAGGATAATATCCATATGCCTATAAGGAAGACCAGTTAATATGCTATTATTTATATTTACTCACCAACCACTAAAGCCAGTGAAGATGTAATGGAAGGATTCCACCAACCTTTTCAGTCTGAAACTGATCAAACATGCAATCTAGATATATTTCTAATCACTGATAACTGGAATACAAATGTTGGAAACAAACAGCAAGGATCTGTAGTTGGAAAATATGGTCCAGGTGATAGAAACAATGCCTGACTCGTAGCAAACTCTCAGTATACGTTATTGTTGCCCTTTGGAACCCTACATGATCTGAGAGCCCAAAAAAGCATGGTGGGAAAACACTCTGACCCTGGAACTAGACTGACTGGGTTTGAGTCTTCTCTCTGCTGTTTATTACCTGTGAGATCGTGGGCATATTATTGAATCTCTCTTTTACCTATTTTCTTATCTGTAAAATGGGCCTGCTTATTGTACCTCTTTCACGGGATTGCTGTGAGACTTAAATGAGTTCATAAAGGTGAAGAACTTAAAACAATCGTGTCTTCATGTAGAAAAATTCTTCAGAAGTGTTTGCTTTTATTTTTCCCTGGAACACCTTTTGTGGGGATTTCAGAGTACAACAGTGCCTTGCCTAAACTTTCCACTGGTACTGCTATTAGAAGCAGGGTCCTGTTCTGAATGGACTGTGGGCTGACCTCAAGTATAGTAACTGATCTGAAACATACAGATAGCAGTAACATCTGATGTTTGCTTAGTGCTTTGCAAAACACTTTACATTCATTAGTTCTTGTATTCTTTACAACCATGAAGTGCTATTGTTGTTGTTAAGTGCTGTCGAGTCAGTTCTGACCCATAACGACCCTGTATAGGGTTTCCAAGGAGTGGCTGGTGAACTTGAATTGCCGACCTCATGGTTCAAACTGAGTTTGCAGCCCAGTGCATTAACCCATAGCACCACATCTGGACTCCTTGACGGGTTATAATTACGTACATTTCACAATGAGAAAACTAAGGCATCAGAAAGTAAACAGATTCATTCTAGGCCATTAGTAAATGGTGGGCAGTCTGATTCCAAAGCTGTGTATTTTTACCTCCACTGCACTCCTAGTCCTAATCTAAAAAGTTCAAGGTGTGAGAGCTCTTGAGATTTCAAATTGCTTGTTGGAAAGGACACAACTTTGATTCCAGAAAGAGCTGGCTGATATCTGGTCTTTTTTCTTTTACTTGAAATCTCTGTGGCTGGGGGCAATTCATTTGCCCTGTCATTTCTGTAGTTTTCTCATTTGCTAAATGAATAAAATAATAGCTATTTTGAAGGGTGGTTGTGAGGATTCAGTGAGCTGGTATGTGCCAAGGTCACAGGTGGTTCCTAGTGGGTGCTGTTCCCATGGAACAGAGCAGCTTTATAAAGAACCCCAGCATGAACAATGTGGTATAGGGCAGGATGAGGAGGGGAAGGAAGTGACAAAGTCACCTGAGCTGCTAATCAAAAGGTCAGCAGTTCGAATCTACCAACTGCTCCACAGGAGAAAGATGAGACTTTCTGCTCCTGTAAAGATTTACAGCCTCAAAAACACTATACAGGGTCGCTGTGAGTCAGAACTGACCCAATGGCGTATAACCACCATCTCCCACAAATGTACCTGATACTAAAAACTAGGTTCCCAGGGAATCCATGGAAAGTTTTCTCACTCCTGATATCTCAAGAGGGTGATGGAGACCTGACTCTCCAGTCATCATTTTGTCATTTACACGCGGGACCATGAGAAGGAGAGGAGAAAGGTCACTGAGACTGGGAACCTAGCCAGGCTTGGACTGAGGGCCACTTCATCACACAATAGCTCTCAGATATATCCACAGCCAAAGACTCCGGAGGAGACATGGAGTCACTAAGGGCCTGGATGAGCGTTCCCCCAGCTCCATCATTCCTGTCTGGACTTTGGCTGTCTGTCATCAGCCCCACGCAGCCAGAAGCTCCAGCTGTCAACAGTGCCGAGTGCGGGATCGACTTGGCTATGATGAGCTCCGACAGCACAAGAGGTGGTGGGTGGTGAGTGGGAGTGAGTGAGGAGCCCAAGCTGCCCAATTCCGTATCTCTGATGTATGTCTCCTCTCTCTTCCCTCTGGTCTCACTCATATGGTTTGTAAAATGACAATACAGTAAAAATCTCAGCTTAAATTTTAATTCTATATGGTCAGATGCAGGGAGGAGTAGGCACATCATAAAAATGCCTTCCTTTGCAACATTGGGGTGTATTCTCAGCCTGGGTCTTTAGTCTGAAAACTGATGTTTTGATTAGGTGTGGGACAGGCTAACCATTGTTTTCATACAGTATCCTCAGAGACTTTCCAGGGAGACCCTAACAACCACTATGACCTATTGCCTTAGAATGGACCGTCCAGTCTCACAGAGATTATGCTTTGGACACATAATTGCTTTTCCACTCTGTATAGGTAAGGCCCTTGATGTTTCTCTATCTTGTCAGCAATGAAAAGAGAGTATCCTTAAAGCAAACTGTCAAACTGGTGAGGAAATATGTAAATGCTGATGATGTTGGCACCACTGCCGGTCAGTTTTTTAAAAAATTCATTCACTCGTTCATCAAAGATATGAAAGTTTTATCCTGTGCCACCTGGTCAGCTTTGTTGTCATTGCCTTGGCATTCCCACTGATAAAATAGGACTAAGAGGTTAAATGTCTTTTCCAAAGTAAATTCTGGAAGAACCAAAGCTGACCCAATTACCGGGACCCCCACCCCCCACCCCCGCCTCCCGATTCTGCATAGAGGATTCCAGGATAGCTGCTCCTCAATGTGCCAGCTAAGAGAAGATTTTGGGCAAAGCTTATGATGCAAAAACCCTTTGAGACTCCCTTGATATTTGCTTATTGTTGTTAACTGCCACCAAGTTGGTTCTGATTCATAGTAATCCTCATAGGGTTTCTGAGATGTGGCTGGTGAGTTTGAACTGCTGACCTTGAGGTTCAAACCATTGCTATTCAGTGCTTATCCTAAAGAGCCACCCATTATTAAAGAAGTAGGTGGGGTACTTTCATCCAAAGGACAATTATGCAGTAACTTAAAATCCCATTTGAAGAGCCTTCAATGTAAAGGGAATATGCCCATGATAAAGGGGAAAAAGCAGTTTCTAAACAAAATATCTTAAGAGGCATGAAACCCTCATGCATCGATATTTACCTATATTCCTATTCTAGTTGAAGGAACCCTGGTGGCTTAGTGGATTACGCATTGGGTTGCTAACCACAGGGTCAGCAGTTTGAACCGCTCCAAGAGAGAAAGATGAGGCTTTCTGCTCCTGATGTGACACTATGGGCTAATGCGCTGGACTGCAAAGTTAGTTTGAACCACAAGGTCGGCGGTTCAAGCTCACCATCTGCTCTTTGGAAACCCTATATAGGGTCACTATGGATTGGAACCAACTCAACAGCACTTAACAACAACAACGGATCTACAGTCTTGGAAGCCCTATACAGGGTTGCTATGGGTTGGAACTGATTCAACAACACATAATCAGTTCACATTGAGTCAGTTCTAACTCATGACAACCTCATGTGTGTCAAAGTAGAAAACTGTAATCCACAGGACTTTCAATGGTTGGTTTGCTTGGAATCTCCAGGCATTTCTTCTGAAGCATCTCTGGGTGGACTTGAACCTCCAACTTTTCAGTTAGCATCCCTAGGTGATACAACTACATCAACACATGTGAGTATGTATGAACATTGAAAGAAAGGCTTGATGGATACACACCAAAATGTTAAGGACATTTCTGAATGCTTTTTTTGTTTTGTTCTAAAGCTTTCATTGTGAAGTGAGTGATAGTTTACATGGCTTTGCACTCAACCCATCGCATTCTGTTTCATTGCAATGATTACAGTCCCCTCCATGCATCACTGATTAACAGAATTTGCTTCTATTCCCTTTTTTTTTTTTTTTTTAAATACACAAAAACATGCAGGAATATATAATTGTTTAAACAACCAAAGGGTACATTTTTCAAGCCAGCCTCCTGGCTGTTAGCACATAGCTTTTCTCTTTCCATGAGTCTTGAGTCCTTAGCTGCTCCCTCTCTCCATGTCCTCATCTCTGGTGTCACTGCTGCTCTGGTTAGGCCCCTATGTTCCACTCATGCTCTTCTTTCCTGAGGGTTCTTGAATCCTCTGTTCATAGAATGTAAGATGAACTATTCCCTCCTTTTTGTTTCACAACTTCTACCTTTACAGTTGTGATGATCGCAATTAGTCATGATAACAATAACTCACTATTGAATTCCGAATGTTTTTTAATGATCTTTTTCAGAGCTTTCTCTCTCTCACACACACACAGAAACAGATTTATTTTTTAAATAGAAAAAGTGCATTGTTTTATTAAAGAAAAAAATCTGATGGAAAACTTAGTGATATATAAAGTGTGTGGTACCCAGAACTCTGTCCACTCGATTTTGCATTTGTGATCATAGGCTTAATTGATCTCGGCTATCTCAGGGCTTTGAACTGGTTCCTTATGGATCAACCTCTGTTGAGAATTTGCACATTCACTTCCCATATTACTGAATGAGAATCTACAATTTGACCAGATTTCCAGGTGATTCTTGTAGCTATAAGCATGTAAGAATGTAGATGCATATATTCCTGGGGATGTTGAAATGTAGATTCTGATTTAGTATGTCCGTAGCCCTGCTGTGGCACTGTAGGATGAGCACTGAGCAGCTAACTGCAATCGGGCATATCAAACCCACCACCTGCTCCTTGGAAGCCCTCGCTATGAGTCAAAGCCAATTCCATGGCACTTAACCACAAATCTTGGGAAGAAATGCAAAATCTCAGCAGTGGGGTGAATAGGACAGAACCAATTTGAAGCCCTGGTTTATCTCAAGGTGATGATGTCTGAATTCATTGTGCTTTATTTCCTGGGTACCACTGATTAGATAAAACTCATCTGTTGTTTTTATGTTTTATTGTTAAGTATTAAGTGACTCAGAGCTACCCTGTGTAGTTTCCTAGGAGCAACTGGTGGGTTTGAACTTCTGACCTTGCAGTTAGTGGTCTAGTTCTTATCCTACACCAGTACTCTATAAGACTTTGTATTTAACCATGAAAGGCAAAGTAAACTTTCCTTAACTCTGGAAACTAACTGGCAAAGCTGGAAATTGTCCAGACTGTTTCCCCTAAGCAGCAGGCTTGTTTACCTCCTGCCCAGCCCTGGGATTCTGAAGACTTCCTCTTTCCCTCAGAATTAATTCCCTAAAAACCACTTCTTTGGTATTTCGCTTTTCTTCAACAGATAGGATCAACTCTTCCTTCTTGAGCCCATCTCTCACTGGCAAAGTGAACAAGACAGACTAGGTGATTTTATTTTTAATTCTCACTGAGTCACTTTCAAGATGAAATTACATAAAGAATATATCAGTACTTTGACTAAAGAAATGCTGAACTGCCTTAATACACATATATGAAAACATTCTGAATTTTCTATTTCTATTGATGCTTCTCTAATCCTGGTTTCTAGAACTAGCCTTCAGTGCCATATTGAAATTTCCAGAAATTTGTATAGCTGAAGCTAAATGACCTTATGCCTTTCTTCAAAGATATTTCTAATAAATAGAGAGAAAAATCCACAAGTTTGCTCTGGCTGCTGATTACATTTTTAATGTTTTCTGGTCAATTTAAAATGTTGCTCATTGGCATATTTCCGTTAAATATTTCATTCATTTCTGTTTTGAGGATAGTTTCTTGTTTCTGCTCAAGCTGGCAGAGAAAAATGGACAGGGAACGTGCCAATCCAAAGGAGAAGAGGCCAAATCATGAAACCATCCACTCCACCCATCACCTCTGTATCCTTGGGAAGTACACTTATCTTTGCAAACTACTTTGTGATTTTATTTAAACAATCATAACCACGTGAGGAGTCTCTGGTTAGTAGAAATGGTTAATGAACTTTGCTACTAACCATAAGGTTAGCACCCAAAGGCACCTCAGAAAAACACTTGGCAAGCTACTTAAAAAAAAAAATCAGCCCCTGAAAACACTGTAGGCCATAGTTGTACTCTGACACATGTGGGGTCACCATGAGTTGGAATAAATTTGATGGGAACTGGCTGGGTAACCCTGTGATGTTTGTGGGTTCAGTGCTAATGTTCCTTCATAGATATCCATTCATACTCATGGCATTTAATTCTTGTCATCGTTTGATCTCCTCCTCTTGTAAGATGTAAGCTTTGCCAGGGCAGGGATGGTGTTCATTTTTCTCTCCATTGTATCCGCGCACCAGTGGCCTGCTTAGAACATAGCTGTCGTTAAGTGCCATTGAGTCAGTTCTGATCCATAGTGGCCCTGTATAGGGTTTCGAAGGAGCTGCTGGTGGGTTGAAACTGTTGACCTTGTGGTTCACAGTCCAGTGCTGACCCTTGTGGTTCAAACCAACTTTGCAGTCCAGTGCTTTAATCCACAATGCCACAGCCTGTACTCAATAAATACGTATGGAATGAAAGACTGAATCAATTCACTCACGCTCTTGGCATTGTTCTTGGTGGCTAAACTGAGGCACAGAATGATTGCTGTGGATTAACCTTTTTGTTGAGAAGGGAGTGTTTTAGCTTCCTATTGCTGCTATAACAAATTACCACAAACTCAATGGCTTCAAATACAACATTTGTTATCTTACAGTTCAGGAGGTCAGAAGTTTGAGCTGAGCCTTTGTTGGTGCTGTTGTAGTTAGGTGCTATTGAGTTGGTTCTGTCTCATAGCAACCTTGTGTATAATAGAGGGCGATGTTCTCCAATCCTGCACCATCCTTAAAGTCATTGCTGTGTTTGAACCCACCATTCCAGCCAATTTATCTTGTTGTGGGTCTTCCTTTGCTTCCCTAGCTCTCTGTTTTAGTAAGTACAATGCTCTTCTCTAGAAATTGGTCCCTCCTGGTAGATAACACGTCCACAGTGTGAGTGGCAAAGTCTGTCCATCCTTGCTTCCAAGAAGTATTCTGACTGAACTTTTTCCAAGACAGAGTAGTCTTTTGAAATGAGTC